TGTTGTAATGTTCAAAATTCCGACAAAAAAAACAACACTACGCGAAAACAAACATTACGTGATTTTTCGAATGTCGCTACGAAATGTCTATCGAATGTCGATACGAAAAATATAGATACGGCACTTTTTTTCCAAAGACAAGAGTTAGACTGATGGTCTGAAACTTCACAAAAATGCCAACTGCTTCATAATTTTTGTCACCGCTTTTCCCGCTCACATGAGAAATTTGGGTTACAATTTGTATTTTTAAACATACAGTCATCTAGAGGCAAACAGTTATCTCAGAAAATAGAATTGATTAATTTAAACAAAAAGAAAAATTAACTGACAAAAAAAATTGAAACTTTATTAAAAACAACATTTTATGCAGACAATTGCCACAATTGTTAAAAGAAATCGTTGAAAATTATATAGCTCTTTGAATCAAATTGTAACTAGATTAAGTAAGTTTTTAAATGGTACTCAGTATAACTAAATAAATTATAACTAAAATCAACTAGCTGTAACTTTTTTGTTGTTTGTCATAACGTACATAAAAATGAAAAAAGAAAAACGAGCTACACACGATTTCAGAACATATTTTCGGTGTCAAACAGAACAAAAAGTTGTTTACTTATGGTCGACACTGCAACCTTGCAACAAATGAGTTGAGAAAGATAATTATTTAGAATTAGTAATAAGTTTAGTTCAATCAGGATTACATTTCATTAATTATTTACAACCTGGATAATTATTTCATTGGCATCTCTTTGAACTTTTTGTGAAAATATGATACTGCGAGACAAAAAAGGAAAAAACGATAAATTTATCAGCGAGAAAGAATCTTGATAATACTAGATAGAAAAAAAATGATTTTGTTGTAATTTTCTTGCTGATTAGAAAAACTGTTTTAAAGCCCTGAAAGTTATCAGCGTGATATGACGTCACTGCCACGTCGAAAATAGACTAAAAACACATTCTATTTCAAAATAACCAGATATAAATTTGCTGTGTTATAACCTTGAATCAGCAGTAAATTGTTTCTTCAAAACTTCGATTTCAAAGAATTATTACGTGTCTAGTTTTTGATGAAAAAGGCAATTTAAGATAAGAATCAATCAAAAACTTGAAAAATTTTGTCCGTTTTTAATTTGCACGTTTAGAAATAATTTCAACAAGTTTTCAAATAATATCATTTTAACTCTCACGGGCGAATAAATATGCGGGCCAAATTAAAAAGCTGCAAATCAAATCAATTTTTTTATTTATTTTTTTAAATATAGCAAAATGGATTCCCCACGGCCTGTATACACCTTTAGTGATAATTCACTTTTGATTTCAACAAAGTTAAATTGATAATTCTCTGATTGTCTGTTTGAAAAATATTGATAAGGGTTGCTTAGTACACATCAGATTTTTAAACGTCTCTTAGTTTTGTCGTTTTAATCATCCTTAAATAAATTTTATCATGATGCAGCTGACAAAATGTTGAAAATTTTTTTCGTTGAAACAACTCAATTTGCAAAAAGATCAAAAAGTCAGCTCAAAGTTGTGTTATACTTTTTAAAATCATCAATTTTATTTGCAGTATTCTGTTCGACCTATTAGAAACTTCGATACATCCGTTTTTTTGGGCCCTTAGATGCTCGCATTTAAACTTTCCAAGCTCTCGAAATTGAATTGAAGCATGTTACAGGATAAATTTTCACAATGAGGGTATGTTTCTCTTGTCCCATTTTCGGCCTTTCAGCATAAATTTTAGGAATGTTATACTTGCTACAATAAAAAACTCTCTTTAGTCCACTTTCTGATTTTAGAAATTCAAAGTTTTTTTTTCATTACGGGAAACTTTCAGACTAATTCATTTTAGAGCATTGACGGTATATAATTATGGTCAATTTCTTGACCAATTCATTTGCATGTTTACGCTGTTTGAGATATTTTACATTTTACATACTACATTTTGAAAGTTTTTTGTTCTATTTCAATCACCGCTTACTGGTTAAAAAAAAATAACAAGAAAAAACTTAATACAGTTTGATTGTGTTTTAATTGGGTTTTCTAACAAATAAAAATTGTTGTGTGTTGTTCTGCAGATATTAACAATTACTACAATCGCAACATAGACCATTGTCATTGGAGTTTTCTTGTGTTAATTGACAAGCAACAGGTTTTTCTTATAAATAATCAAATTTTTAAGAACGAACCTCAATTAAAAAAGAAAATTTGTCTTAGATTGAACTGATAACATTTTCAATTGACGTATAACTCCTATCCAATGAACGTATAGGATAGGAGTTATATAGTTTTTTGGTTGCATAGTTTTTTATTCAGCAAGAGTTTTTTATTGCATAGTTTTTTATTCAGCAAGAACAATTAGTCATAGTTTTTTGCTCAGCAAGAAAAATTAGTCAAATTTCTCTATAATTATTCCGACCTGGATAGAAAAAACTGCTATTTGTTTGAGATTATAAAAAATTGATTGTTTTTCTAAGCAAATTTTCTCTATATAGTTTTGCAATATAAGGTTTAAAACATAGATATTATAACTTTCGTAGAAATTGAGGAAAAATTGTGCTAGGGGAGGTCTTTTTATTCGAACCAATTACCCAAAAAATGGGCGATCAATCCATGGATCTTCGAGGAACCCGCCGAGTTCGCACAGCATTACACTAAATGGCTCGATTCCATCAAAACTGCTCGTTTTATACTTCGATGCCGCGAGTGCAAAGGGCATTGTTACTATCCCGCACTATTGTTTCAAATTGAATTGAGGCAAGCTAATTGGTTTTATTAATCCCAAATGCGGCTCAATTTTTATCATTTAAAGTTTAATTTTATTTGTGAAAAAACCACTGTTTTTCGAAGTTTGATCAACCAAAACATATTGGAATTAATGGCACTCGGGACATTCAGGATTATGCTCGATACGAGCAGTCTCGGTTACAATAAAGTGGTTTTTGGGAAGAATATTTCATTGACTTTGCATTGAACTGGCAACAAGCATAATTGATTACCATGTTCTTGAAAGTTTAACACACGTTAAACTGTTTTTTTTTTCAGACTTTTGAAGAAAAAAACGGATTGTTTGTTCTCGGGGTGTTTTTTTCAGGCAAACTTTGACTTTTTAATTCCAATTCCGACGGACCTGTTTGGCAAGTTTTGAAAGATTTTGAAACAGGTGATCATATACTAAGTTTATTACCATTTTGAGAAAACCTTCAGGTAATTAAAGCGTAATAGAGCGTAGTGAAAACGGCGAAAACTATCCGGTTCAGACATCATTCCAAACTGAATTGAGGCATCGAATTGGTCCAAATAATTCTTACTAGATAAGATTTATATCAGTCGGTTTGTATGAAAATGGCGCATTGGTCAGATTTAAAAGAATTTTAAAAACCACTACAAGTACATTGGAGCATATTTAAAGCCTTGCCCCCTACAAAGCAGTGTTGTTAGTTTTAATGCATTAGAGATTTCTCTTTTGAATTTGTTATCATTTTCATCCTACGGTAGTTTTCAAAAGATTTGAAATCAGTTTATTTATAATGCATCTTGTAAAGTTACTGATAATATAGTTGTCATCACGCCTTTTTAATTATATTCAACCGGCTAAATGTCACTTTGAATTTCAGGAAAAATATCAGGAAAAACATCAGGAAAAATATCAGGCTCTAGTAGTCTTTAGAAAAAATTGAATTGGTAATTACGACTAAACAGTCAGCAATTCTAATTACGACCAGCTAGAAGTTACGTGAATCCGTATTGGCGATGTCTAGCGAACTCAATCCAACGGTACCTCCTTTCACAACAGAGCAGCCGAAAATGACAGATGAGCCGACAGACTACTCGGCCGACAATGACGTGAAAGAAATAGCGGAAATGGTTTTCTGGGCGGTCCTCTACTCGGCTGTCGTTTTCATGGGCTTCTTCGGAAATGTTATCGGTAAGAACTTTTTTTGCTTTTTTTCAGATTAACAAATTCTGAGTATCAAGTATTTCGAAAGTCATGACTGAAGTATTCAAAATAGTCGCATTCGCATTGCACAAATCATTCGGTATTCGACGCGTTTTAGAAGTTTGAAGTAATATGACTTAGGGTTAATTTTCCAAAGCGATATTAAGTTTTTTCTAAAAGAATCAAATGAAGCATCATAAGATCATTTTAAGCCGATAACAGTAAAGAAACTGTTTTTAATTACAAAATGAAACTGAAAAAGCGAACTTCTTAAAAAATTCAATTGAATTTTTGATTTACAGACTAAATTAACAGAGCAATCAGGTAATTTTACAAAGACTTTTACCTTATTTCAATTGATTTTATCCAAAGTATAATTTGAACCACCACAAATTGTTCAACAAAATTTCTGCTAGAAAAGAACAAAATTCCTTGTCATTTAAATATTACTGTGTTCCGACATGACTTTTTCAAAAATCACGATGTTCGAAATAATCTGCGGTAACATACTTCCAACTAGCTTGTTTTTGATCTTCAATTAGGAGATAATCTTTCTTTTTCAATCATAATTTTATTGTTCCCACAACTTCACAAAGAAGGAAGTATGGGACAAGCACGTAGAGATTGGTGAGCATGATTGAGCTAAACAAATCTTGTTTACCAAGTTATCAGTTCAAATTTATGATTAATACTTCTGACGATATTAATAATGTTTTTGACGATAGTTATGATGTTTTTTGTTACTATGAGTAAAATAATTATAATGATGATCTTTATGTTAATAACCACAACTATTGTTTTAAAAATTCTGTAATTTTTCTCATAAACAAGTATGATAAACAATTTTGTTATATTTGTGATTGAGTTATGTTAATGGTAATGGCTTTATGATTTTTAATAACTTTTGATGGTTAAACAATTTTTAGTAATATATGTCTTCGAAAAAGTCCTATTTTTATTTTAAAAATTTTTGGGAAATTTTAAGCGTTTTTTACGTTTTTTGTTGTGATTACAATTATATTGATGATGATCATTTGAAACTATAAACTTTTCTAATTTTGTTAATAAACTTTGGTTGCCATTTTTAAAATTCTAATTAAAATTTTTTATTCATGATTTTTTTAAAAGAACGAATGGGAGTGAAGGTATGTTTTTAATGCATTAAAAACAACATTATAATTTTTTTTGGTTTTTCGTGAAATCTAAGCACTTATATATCAATTATTTGATTTCAACCTCATTTTGAAAAAAAAACAAAGAGAGCCAACTTTGCCAAGCAGGTAGCGCGGGAAATCGGTATTTGGACGAAGTAGCGCAGAATGTTTAAACCACATCCATTAGAAAATTTTTTTAAATAATCATCATAAATGAGAGAACGGAGATATGTATCACTCGACCTTTTCCGATGATTGTTAGTGGTATCTGATTTTGCAAGAAAAACAAAAAAACAGACCCAATGAAAACTTTCCTCCTCATTTTTTTTGGTTGGAACAAAAACAAAAAACTAATAAAAAATTTCAGAAAAAATTTTTTTTGGTGCCCAAAAATTATTAATCACCATTATCTATTTTTGAAAACAGAAACAAATCCACTCTTTTTTTCAAAATCATCAAAGTTGGAACAAGTGCTTTATAAATGAAGTAAAGGGTCCCCTTTCCAATTTTTTTTTCATAACAACGAATCATATATGCGAAAAGATAAAGACAACTGACCGCAAAAATTTGTCTAAAAAATTGAAATAGTAAACAAATCAGATTTTGTTTTTGCTTTGTTTTTTTTTCTAGGTTTTTGTTCGGATTTTTTTCTATTTATCCAATCACGAGTGAATGGACTTTATTAATAAAGCATACTTTTTGCGCATCTGGCACTTAGCATAGTGGTAAGTCGTTGACTTTGCTATCGTCATATTGTGTAATTGATCTCCTGCCATGAAAATGATAGTTTGTGAGGACGAGCTCCCACTCTAGCTTCAGATGGACCCCAGCTTGACCGACTTAGGCTACAAAAAGGGGTGGACCATATCTTGAACGAGCTAGGCTACAATAGGGGTGAAAGGCCTAGACGGTGAAAGGCCTAGCCGCAAAAAAAATGACATTGAGTTGCTACAAAAGAGCATCGCTCAACAGAATATCTGTCTGGAATATGGGGAAATAGGAGACACTGACTATGCGTAAACAGTCTGAATAGCTTTTCATAGGTCCTCTGCGAATCGTAGAAACCACAATTAATTTTATTGTTTGCTCATCTCAGAGAGCGTTCGGGTCACTATCCCCCTTATGGTACTTAGTCATGAATTACCCCCCTTTGATGCACTAAAAAAACTATTGAGAATGGGGGCTCTAGCTATCAGGATCCGATCATTCTTTCACGTGCCTAACTTTGAGAGTGGTTGCAGCAACAATCGCTTGAAAATGTCAAGTTCGATTTTTTTTTTCAAATTTCAAAACATGATATTTTTTGGGATGTCTTCAAATATATCCCCCTCGGTTACTTAGTAAAGAATACACCCCTCCCCCTTTGAGAAATGAATCAACAGTTAAGCATATGAGAACTGTAAACCTAAAAACGAATTTCCTCCCTTTTGCAAAAAGGGGGATATGGTTAAAGAGATCCGTGTTTTGCTGGTGCTTCTGTTTAGAAACTTTCAGTGATCTGAAGAATGAAATATAATTGAGAGCTCTGACTATTCAACCTCAGCTCAGAATCCGGTCTAAATATAGTTAAGTTAATGGATCTGAAAATTTGCGGTAGTTTTAAGCAATATGATTATAAATGTGAATTTGTTATCAATAATTACGATAGCAAACATTTTATTTACTATTTCAGACTAAGACCGTTGAACACTATTAGCTATCTATTGAGACATCAAGACCACAATTATTTTACTACGCCTGGTTGGAAAATGAAGATTAACCTTATCAATTAGTCTCGAAGAAATTCAAAATGCATTAAATTGGCCCAATCTTTTTTTGAACAAGTTTTTTGGACTCGATGTGAGAGCAGCATTTGCACGATTATCATTCCTTATCAATTTACCGCTATTATTCTATATGGAATTTGTAAAACATTTGAAAATATAGGGATTATATCCATTACCTCAAAAAATAATCAAAATAATCATAAGATGCCAGGCGGGGATTACTTGCTCTTTGTCATTGATAGCAAAGTTAGTAGAAAAAAAAACTTAAAAACCATGACTCTGGATAAATCGAGTATTTAAATGTTTGTAGTTTGTCAAACAATAACAAGTTCAAATTCTTTCAAAATCTTAAAGATTACAATTTCTTGAAAAGGACCATAGCCAGCAAATTGTTCGATCTCGCTAGGGTATTTGACAATTCTGCGACACGGTAAAAGAAATTTTCACAAAGTTTACTCCGTGTTATCATTGGCATTCTCAAAAACGTCTTGTTTTCCGTTCCTTAATTCGGTCGATTCAGCATCACTAGGGCAAGCAGATCTCTTTAACTACCCCCTTGGGTACTTAGCAACGAATTGCTACCCCAATAAAAAAATAATTTAATGGCTAAGTAAGCGTATGTTTATTTACCCGTGAGGCGACAATTCCTAACAGGTGACAATTCGTAACAAGCGACAATTCATAATTGTAAATTAAGCGGGGAACACTGATTCAGGCGCAGTATTCCTCTAGTCCCGGATGTAAGCGCAGAGAAGCGAAGCGGAGCAAGCGTATTCACTTGCCAACATTACGAGCTCAAACTGTGCACTGGATAGGCGCACAATATTGTGTCTGTATGTTCCTGGATTCCAGAGACAAGACTTTAAACTTGTTAAAATTGTGTCCAAAAATCACAGTTTGACCTCGTAAGGAAAGTATTGTTACAAATTATTTGCAAAAGGGGGAAAGGGGGACATAGTTTAAGAAATCCAATCAAACTCAACCTGTCCTCCTCTAAAAAATAAAGTGGGCACTGAAAAATTTAATGTGGACAATTTCAGCCGGACTTTAATACCCCCTTACAAATAACGACCGGATTTCCTTGTAGATTAGCGAATGATAGATATAGAATAGCGCTGTAATCACAACTTCGAGTTTATGTCAAAAAAGGAACTTCATCTCAAAAAAAGTACATCAAATTTGAGAAAACCTTTTCAGAAAAGAATTAACCCTGCCCTGATTTAAATGAAAATAATGAAACGCACAAAACGAAGTCTATAAATCTATCTAACATGTCACAAAATCTGGTTCGATGAATTTTTGACTGATATCTATTTGTGCTATAATTCATGATTTTCAAAGATACATTTCAAATGCTAAAATTACAGCACCTTAATATAAACTTTCGAACGAGTTTACAGCAAGGAAAACCCTTTTTTTAACAGCAGCACAGCTGTTGCGTAATTCAGTTTTAAATTTTACGGAACATTCTCTCTAAAAAGAACTAACAAATAGTACTTTGGGTAGTCCATCGCCGTATTAGATCCATCAAAACTTGTTCAGACAGATAATTGAAGGGCTTTAAATCAGCATAATGTTATCGCTAAGCATATTGTTTCCTGTTTAAACAAGAATTTTTTTGCACTTTTATAAATTGCCATTCTTACAATTTGCACTTTTTGCAGATTGACAATGCCATATGGCTCTAATGTTGCACTCAGAGGGCTAATGGAGCTTATCGGCCACTTTTAAAACACCGTTTCTACTTTTGAGATTCAAAAAAAAAAAAACGAAAAACCTCTAAACTATGCTCACTGCACTATTTTCTCAAACTGAACTTAGTTTTAATTTTTTAAAATAATGTATAGTCAATTGCTGAAATACTAGGGCAGCCGGAGTTTTTAACCTTAATCAAATTTTAAAAATACACCCACACTTCGGCCATTGGAAAAAAATGAACTGAGATCGATTCGTTTTTGCTGAAAATTGCCATCAAGGATAACACGACTGCTCGTATCAGGGCGAAGCCCTGTATGTTCCGACTGCCTTTTAAGGTCTATGGGGCAGTAAAAACATAAAAAAATTAAAT